ACAGGTAAATGGTGTGCGGTACGCTTCCAGTTCATCCCAGAGTGCTTTGAGCTTGGTGAAATATGTTGACAGTGCCATGGTTCCTTGTGACATCGTTGCTATCGAGTTTTGTATTTGAAAAATTGCTAGAGCATTCTTTTGTGAGAATTGATCGTGAAGATCAACCCACACTTGATGAGCTGTCTTGGCGTGAATAATGCCTTTAGCGATATCTGCTTCAACGGAATGAGTTAACCAAGATATTATCATACTGTTGCACTGATTCCAGAGTTCGAATTCGGTTGAATTTGCATCTTGGGACGGTTCCTCAATTGTGCCATCAATGAAGCCAATTTTCTTCTTGGCAATAAGAGCATGCATAACTGATTTCCTCCAGGATTGATAATTTGCTCCATTTAATTTGATTGGAACAAGTGAATATCCTGGCTGATCAGAGTGATGAATATAGTACGGATGTGTTAAATCAACATCCGAAATTTTGAAGCTAGATTTGGCTGATTCCGCCATAAAGGAAATTTTGATATTTAAGAACACCAAGATCGGTGCTCTGATACCATGTTAAGAATGAGAAATAGAAATAGAATTGGGATCGAAAGTATGATCTTCATTCAGGTTTACACGTTTAAATAGGATACAAACTATCAACTAATACCTAAAAATAGAAAAATATATATCTAATTAAATCTGGTAAATAAATAAAATATACGGTTAATCAAATCTATACTAACAGCTTCCTAAATATCTAAGATATATTCTAACTAATTATCACGGCAAAATATCCTCTTAATACGAGTCTAACTATAGACCATGTATTTGTAACGACCCATGCCCAGAATTCGCATCGAGATTTGAAATCTAAATAAAGTACCTGATGACCCTTGACATTCTCCTGCAATATGGTCCATATTATCGTAATATGACATGTTCCAAACTCTGACGTTATTTGTAACGACCCATGCCTAGAATTTGAATCAAGATTAGTACTTGATGACTCTCGACATTTTCCTACGATATGGTCACAACTACTTCTCGCTTCTTAAGAATGAAGACTGTTCTTATGGATCAACATGAGTCATTCTAGCATGCTTTGTTCTTTCTCTTTCAAGAAAAGATCAATTATTGAATGTTAAGTAACTATACGTTAAAAGTTGTATCTAATCGGTTTTTAGGTGCCGAAACCTAAAATATGTTTAATATGTTTTTAAAATTTAAATTATATATATATATTACAATCTTTTTATTATGGTTTTGAGCGTAAATTTGAAGAATTATAAGACAAGGGAAGGTGAGGGGTTGGTGTTACGTTTCTTCGGCAGACATTCCATTATTCACTCTCAGCTTCTTAGCTCGGGAGAGTACGACTGTGACGTGTCAACAAAGTAAATTATTTGCCCCCAAAATTGAGCCTATAAAGATAGGGAATATATATATATATATACGGAATATATATTTTTTTTAATATTATGTTTATTTAAAATATTATAATTTGTTCTTCAAAAAAATATATTTCTAAATCTGGAATGAATAAAAGTGCCCAATATAGTTGAATTTGTTCATATTTAAAAATTAGCCTTTTTAGGAATACCCTTTTTCATTAAATTATTCCTAGTTTTTTGTAATAGCACGTGGAATTGAAGTTTGAATTAAAAGTGTTCGTGGATTGAAACGAGTCAGATTGAGATAGTTTTTAGATTTAGTGAAAATGTTCGAGCCGTAAATTTTTTAAACTAGAACAACTCTTATAAATTAGAGGGTTAAAATATTTAAAGATAATTTTTAAAAATATATATTCAAATTGAATTATAATTCTTTACTTAACACTTTACTTTTATTAAAAATAAAAATTTAA